GTGCACCCACGCTCACTGTTGGTGTCACCACCACCTATTCTTTTCCAAGGTATTTGTTGTTCGCAATCTAACACTAGCAAGTGCACTAGGATTGCAGCAAGTGATGAGTAATTTAAGATCAGAATATCGTCTCCACAGGGAATTTAGGTTTCAAGTACCACTTCACAGAATTATAACCATTTGAGCCATACGAATTTTTGAAGGAGATTTGTAACATATAACAGCAATAAACCAAAGCAATTAAAGCAAAGAACTTGCAGAGAAACAAAGTATAAGATTTGTGATGAAATGAAATAGCAATGAAGGATAGTTAGGAATTTACTTCACAAGAATATCAATATCAATCCAATTAAATCCTCTGAACATTCAAGCAATTGAATAATTGACAATCAGTTTCACATATATCTAGCCAAAGGTTAATTCCTTAACTCATTGACCCTAACAATCCACTAAACCTCCCTAATCCCTTAGGTGAGATTCAATTTCAGGTTGCATTAAGAATTAGAACTATAAGATTGCAGAATTAGGTCTCCTTATCCCTAAGAAATCCCTAAACGCTGGTTGCCAATTCAGATCAGAGCAAACAATCCAATTCCCATTGGTAAAGATTCCTCTTGATTAATCAAATGAATTTCCATTCAGAGATTGCATGAAAAGCAGAATTAACAACTCAATTAATCCAAGAACTTAAAGTTCAGAAGATAAAGTCGAATCAATACATCAATTCGAGTTCCATAAACCCCTAACTATGGGAAATTAAGCACACATTGCAACAAAAACAGAGAAAGAAGAAGAAGAAGATGAAGAAGAATGCAGAGCAGCCATGGCCACGAGCTCCAATCCGATCCCTCTTCTTGGAGCTTCAAGCTTCGACCCCAGTCTTTTCTCCACTCTCTCTCAACGAGAATCTAACTAACAAAACAGAAAATGAGCAACCGATCCCGGTTTTCGCGCTTCAATCATGTATATATAGAAACCCCACTTCTGCGTGTTGTCACTTTTCTTCACAAGAGTAACCACGCAGAAGCTTTATGTAGTGCGCGTGTTCACTTTCAAGAGCAAGAGTAACCACGCGCAACTTGCAGAGTTGAAGGCTTCTCTGGAACATTCACTTTTATTCAGAATAGTGGCAACGCAGGAGGTCAAGGGCTGCGCGTGATCACTTTCGTGAGTAATAGTAACCACGCACAAGCTGTCCTGATACAAGTGCCTCTGGAACGCTCACTTTCGCTGGCGAAAGTGACAACGCGCAGCTCCTCAGGAATAGAGTCTTCTCTGGAACGTTCACTTTCGCTGGCGAAAGTGATAACGCACACTGGCAACGCTCACTCTTGTAACTAAAAGTGATTACGCACAGGCTCCTCTTCTCATTTAGGCTCTAGAATGATCACTTTCACTAACAATAGTGATCACGCCCAGCCTACATCCCATAATTCTTGTATTTTGGAGTCCAACATTGCCGTTCTTCCTCTTCCTTTCCATTGATGATCCATTTCCATGACTTTTGCTCAGATTATTCCTTCAAAAACAAGATAAATTCCTTAAGAACTAAGCATAAATTCTATAAATGCGAAAATAACTACAAATTGAAATAAAACTTTCAATCATTCTCTTTTTCTGAGTTTTTCTGCTTTCTTCATATATTTTCCTTATTAAATGAGCTAGAATTATGCTAAAATATCAGTAAAAATATGGATTCATCAGTATTTCTACCGCCACCCATCTTTCATATCCCCAGTGTATCGCTGAACCATTCATAGCTTCCAGCACATTCACAACCACATTTAACATGCCATTCACACACATTTTCAACTACATTCTCAATTACATCACAACATTCATGTCCATACACGGCACGTATGCCCACTTTCATTTGTATTACACTCAAATATCAAATCCCTTCACAACTAAATTGCTACATCACACACATTATACTCAATATCCATCCCAATCAAATCAATTCCATTAAAAGATACATCTTCCTACATTTCAATCATCCATATTACAACACACAACCAATTAACGGAGTTCAAGCACAAAATAAGATGGGGTGGAATCTCCTCTTACCTCAAATCAAAGACCCACACACAAAATCAACAAAGAATGTGCTCTCCACATGAATTGTCCTAAACACATGGAAGAATCCCATGAGAACCAAGAAAAACTGAGAAATAGAGAATGAGGAAGAGAAACTAAAACCCTAACCATTAACACTTACCTTCAAACGCCCCAAACATGATTCCAACCTTCAATCTAGCTTCCAAATGGCCTTGGAGGCAATTTAATCAGTAAGAATGGGTTTCGGATTGAGAGAATCACAGAAGAAGGGAAGAAAATGTAAAATAATCCATTCCCTCAAACCCTAACCCTTCAAATACCCCTTTAGTCGCGACACTCTCGCTACAGCGAGATATTCTTGCTACAGCGAGATATTCTTGCTACAGCGAAGGCAACGACATTCCTCTTGCTATAGCAAAAATCTCAGAGGAAACTGCATTCTAGTTTCTACAAAATCTCACTATAACGAGACTGCACCCAGAAATGTACCCCTCACTACAGCGAGGGACCTCTCACTACAGTCAGAATGCGACAGTTTCATGCTCTTCTCTCAGGGTCTTCTCGCTACAGCAAGACCCCTCTCACTACAATGCAAACACCCCAGTACTACACACTTAACCTATATATTCCATTAATCCACAAGTCCACACTCATCCTTTAATCACATTATACAAACATACACATATCTTCACGTATTTACAGACATATTCTAGCCACCATTCAATACTCATTATCATCATATAATTCAAACACACGACACATAATAATCCACATATATTTATATTAATAATTTAAACTATTATTATTACAAAATTTGGGGCGTTATATATAGAGTTTAGAGACGATGTGAAAATTTGGAAGAAATGTAGGATGGTGACATTTTCGTATGTGTACACATTCTTAATGAGAGTGAATGCGTCTATGATGTAATGAGTTGTTATAGAATATATATATTACCGATATCTTATTTTTGTGATTGATATTATTATGTTATATTTTATCCTATGATTATACTTATGTTGTGATATTAATCATTGAGATCATGTTATGTTCAATGACAAGGTAGATGTTCATTCTTACTAAATGTTTCAAAGAATAAAGATAATGCCACCACAAAGGCAAATTAGATTAGTAGACTATCTTGTATACTATAAAATGAATTATGTATTTAGAAAATATCAGCAATTTTGTCATTTTATGTTTAGTATATACTGTGATGATGAATTACGTTGTATATGGACAGTAGAAATAAATGTAGATTATGGTGTCCCATTTTATTATCCTGTAAATAGTAGGATTCGACACACTCTTAGTATTTATATTTACTTAAGAACTATTAGGCCTTCGAGAGTTATAGATAATGTTTACACTTTTCACAATCATGACTTTCTTGAAAGACCTACCCGATATAGTTTTGAGCAGATCACGGGTGTTAAGGTCGTGGAAGATGCCGGTGATCTCTATCTCGAAGAAGACAAGGATCTGACTCCAGATGAGCTAGCTGAGATAGAAAGTTGGCATGGTGATGACAACTAGGACTGGGTCCTCAGTATTTTGGGTATGGATTGTAACTACCTTTAGGGCTTAGTTTTATTTTGATTATGTAATTAATTGTTCTAAATATTATAGCTTTTTGATTAAATATTTGTAAATTATTATACTGTTTATATATATATTCCCAAAGTGGTTCAGTACAATGTAGTTATTAAGTTACAATTTATCATTTTTCTCGTTTTATTACCTTAATTAACTTACAAAAGGATTTATTCATGGAAAGTTTAAATATTCTCACATTTTCATATTACATATTTTTTATGGAAATATATTTCATCCTTCCGTTTCCACATAAAATATTATATATTTTACAAATGAAATTAAGGATGTCACAAAAGATGATAGAAAAATATTACTACAAATAAAATAATTTACACATGATTTTTATTGACTAGGAAAAGACATATGATGGCACCAAGAGAAGTGCTATGAAAGACTTTAGAAAAGAAAGTGGTTTGTGTAACATATATTTAGTCTATACAAGACATGTATGAGGAAGTAACTACATGTATGAACTTCTGGATGAGTATATAAGGACTTCTCAATTGGAATAGGTTTACATCAAAACTTCACTTTGAATTGTTGTGTAATCTAGTCTTAAATGTACTTACAAAAGACTTACAAAAGATTATCCCTCAATCCATGTTCTTTGCAAATGATATAGAATTAATTAAGGATTTGAACTTAAGTTATGGAGAGAGACTTTAGAATCTAGTGGTTTTTTCTTTAGTAGAAGTAAGGCAAACTATATATTAAGTTTAGAAAAAGAAAAATAAGATAAGGATCATGCGTTGAAAGTTAAAATTGAAGATGATATTATAGTATAAGTTTCTAATTTCATATTTAGAATCGATTATACAAAATAATAGAGAAATTAATGAAGATATTACTCACAAAATACAAATTGAGTGATTAAAATGGAGAAAGGCACCAGGAGTTATTTTTTACTGTAAAATGCATATCAAGTTAAAAGAAAAGTTTTACTGCATTGCAATACAACAAACTATTCTTTATGATAATGAATGCTAAGGTTTAAAGGAACAACACGTGAAAGTAGTAGAAATGAGAATACAAAGATGGATAAGTAGATATACGAGAGAATATTATAATAGCATCTATAGTGAAAAGAATGACTGAAAATCATCTAAGATAGTTTAATCATACGCAAATAGCTTTAAAAGCGCCAATAAAAACAGTGAATTGTATATCTCTTAATCGAATAAAGAAATAAGATTTGATTATTATTATTTATCATGGCAAAATTAAAGCGCTCCAAAGGGCCTTTAAGTTGAATTTTTCTATTGTTATTTAAGAATTAAGAGCTTATTTAGAAAAATTTATAGGCAATTTAAATAAACAATATGACACACATTAGCTCTTTTTATCTTAATTTCAATAAACTTACTGTTGTCACCTTATTCCAATAAATTTTATTATTGAATTTGACTTAATTTATTGTTTAAATATAACTTATTAAATAAGTATTTACAATAGTTGTGTAACCAAATGCATCCTTAATTAAGATTGTGATTGGCTAAATGATGTCACAAGGAATTCCCCCAAGCTAATAAAAATGTATACGCTGATTTATCTCAATGTGGTTACGAAGAATCATACAGCAACAGAAGAAAAGTCTCTCGCCCCAAATGATGAATAAGCCAATGGGTCTCAATATTGTTATGGACTAGTGAGTTGGGTAGTAAGCTGCTCTCACTTTTCTGTTTATTTGTTGAACCAAACTTGAGATTAGATGCACTTCTAGTTGCAACTAAATTTGTGTATTTGTACCTTTGCCAGTCATCTCATGGACATTTACTCGGGCTCAACAGGAGTTTGTGAAATGGCCACTGTTGATAGTGATGGTCGCAGGAAAAGGTATAAACCAGGCCCCAAAAATGGTATCAATGATATGGGAAGAAGCCAAGAACCTTTGTCAAACCTGCACATTGGATTAGCTTTAAAATATATGCTAGATTGTCTTTCAGATAACTTGGGCAGGTATCTATGTATAAACTAAAATAAAAATTTAAATGCCAAGGATATTACCATTTTCGAGCAGTCATATCATTGTAGATCCAAAATGGTGCAAATGTGGAAAATATAATAAAATCAATGGACATAATATGGATCTGCAACATGAAAACCCAATTTTAGCAACTAAAGAATAATTCCAAGTTCATATTTCATCAAGGATGGATAAATGCAAATTATGAAAATGAGCGCATAAGAATCTTTTTCTAAATTAGCCAAATATTTGGCCTAGTGTTACTAGGTTCCAACAGACTAGCAATTGTTAATTTTACATTAGCAAAGATCAGCATAGCAAGATTGAAAGTTCATGGCACCGCTAAGCTTGTATAGTGAATACAAAAGCAATTCATGTCAACTACATGAAATGCTGAGTAAGAACTTACAAATTTGCTTTCCCTGAAGTACTGGTAAAATTCTTTCCACACATCTTGTCCAGCTAAACCAGCATAGGTTATGATGGCTATCCCTGCAGCAAGTGATATCTGATGTGTAGCTTAGGTAAGTTACAAAGTCCAAAATATAAAAATAAAAATGAAGAATCTAGTGGGATTGTGCTATTCAATGGTCAATAAAGCTTCTCAAGTTCTCAACACAGCATGTTTCGGAAGTTAGGTCTTTCAATACTAATTCATGCTAAAGGAAATCTCTTGGATTCAAGGGCTTTTAAAAACTATTCCAAGTCATCATGGTTGGTTTAGTTTTAGTGTGAAATTTATTTGATGCATTCTAAAAACCATACCATAAAAGTTATTTATTACAATTGGAGAGCACAATGTCTTATAAACCTCATACTGGAATGTTATACTTCCATTGTGGGACCCAATTTCATAACATGCAATTCGATCCTAACACGTTCCCAACTTCAAATACGGCTTTTATAGATATAGTAACCCTGTATGTGAAAACCTTCCCAGTATTTGTAGTTCGCTTTACTGTAAGATATAGTAACTAATAAGAACCTTGGGAGAACCATACCAAAAACACAAGCCTAGTTGGAGAGCTCAAAGCCATATAAACCTCACAATAGAATCCCATACTTCCAGTGTGGGACCCAAGTCTCATACCTTGCAATTGGATCTTAACAGGAGCATACTACTATTAAATGTGAGATTTAAAGCTAGTGTGTGTATGTGTGTTAAGAGAAAGCATCAATTGATTGTCATTGTTGAGATAGAAGACTTAAAATTAATAAAGCTCTCAAATTTGGATGTTTTGCTTCAGCAATAGAGCAAATTGAATTCACTAGAAAGAATAGAATACATAATGATTTAAAACTATTTTCAGGTTTTCTCTAAAAGTAAACATGTGACTGCAATAGGGTTGTTTCTGTTAAGCATTAACCTGAAAAAATCACCTAAACATGGAACCATTATTTAGATTACAAAGATAAGTTTGCAACAACTTTGCAAGATGAGCACTTACTATTGCAGTTACTTTTGATTCCATAAAATTCAATGGCCATGTTTTAAGCTCAGTTTCTTCAACAGGAGGTGCTGGTGGTCTCCAAAGTACAAAATAAGGAAGAAGTGCATATGCACCACCAATAGATGAAAGTACCAGGAAAGGCCATACAGGAATATTGTTTTTCGAGCTGTAGAACAACAGGTGGAACATATGAAATCAGCTTCAAGTATTGTCAAATAGGACGTATACATACAAAAATACTAAATTATTTTATTCTCCATACAATATGTTACGTGTAGCGGCTTGTAAAGTTCTCATAGTAGCATTCAAAGCAGTAACAGAATTAACATAGCAGTAATGTGTAATTAAATTGCAAGGATGGGGTATGTTACTTCAAACTAGTAGTATTCAGTTAAATGTTATTTTGACTGATTTTTGCAAAAGACAAAGGAGGTAAGCATTAATCTTGAAATTGAGAGGTCACCACAAAGTGTTGATGTTAAAAAGGTATTCAACCAGAAGGAAAATTCCATTGTATTCACTCTAAAACAAGGGTCAAGTACTCAAACATTACATCACAGATTTTTGACTGTACTCAAATATTACATCACAAATTGAGAGGTTATTAGATAAAACACCACAAAGTGTTGATGTTAAAACGGTATTCAACCAGAAGGAAAACTCCATTGTATTCACTCTAAAACAAGGGTCAAGTACTCAAAAATTACATCACAGAATTAACATAGCAGTAATGTGTAATTAAATTGCAAGGATGGGGTATGTTACTTCAAACTAGTAGTATTCAGTTAAATGTTATTTTGACTGATTTTTGCAAAAGACAAAGGAGGTAAGCATTAATCTTGAAATTGAGAGGTTATAAGATAAAACACCACAAAGTGTTGATGTTAAAACGGTATTCAACCAGAAGGAAAATTCCATTGTATTCACTCTAAAACAAGGATCAAGTACTCAAACATTACATCACAGATTTTTGACTGTACTCAAATATTACATCACAAATTGAGAGGTTATTAGATAAAACACCACAAAGTGTTGATGTTAAAACGGTATTCAACCAGAAGGAAAACTACATTGTATTCACTCTAAAACAAGGGTCAAGTACTCAAACATTACATCACAGATTTCCAGTTCATCACTGTTTATGTTTTGATGGTTTGCCAAAAGGAAGGGTGGCAAGGCTTAAAGAAATATCTATTTGCACATTGCATGTACTCTTAGATGCATGGCAAAGATGTTAGATATGAAATCATTCATGAACCTCCACCTAACTACTTAAGCCTTTAGGAATGTTGATATGGGACAGAGTCCCTTACAGCTTCCTTGTCAAAGACAACTCTCCTGAAAGCTCAAGCTAGCAGGTGGAGAGGTTATGAATGGTTTTATATCAAATAATAGAAACCATATTATTTATGTTAGAGAGAAATATAAATAAGAGTGAAGTACCTTCTTCCTGTAGGAAGCAGAAGCATGCTATATGCCAACGGCCACAAGCCCATTATATACCACAATGATACCAGCACCTCATTCATTCTAAAACCATCATCTCCTTTTAGATTCAGGAGCTTTTGAATGAAATACACGTCCCTTGACTGAATGAATAAATAAATAATCTCACTGATCAAAACAAAAGGAAAGAAAAAATAAAGTCGTGTGTAACGGCGACAAGAGAGGAAGAGATTTTAGTCAGAGAAAGGAAATGGAGATACAAAGCGGAGTCAAGGTTTATCAGCATCCTTTCCAATCACACTCACATTCTTTTCCTTTTATATCCTTGCTCTACTTGATTCGTCATTGCTATATTATTCTTTTGTAATTGAATTATTTCCCCTCCATGTAGAATGCAATAGGTGATTACCATAGTCCATCATTGGCATTGCCAATTGAAGAAGAGCATCCAATCTGTTGAAATTTAGCACTTCTGCAACCATCGATAGGAATCAATGGAATAGGCAATCAATTTGAAGCACTAGGTGAGACATTTGTGCATCAATTGGTTGATATGCCATCTGCTTATAACTAAAGGAAATTAAGTAGTTGATATCGATGCACAAGCACTTAGGGAATGGAAAGGTGTGAAGATTATCACAATCACTGTGTGAAGTAGATTGAGGTTGATAGAGCCCATGATCCAGCAGAACAGATGTTGGGCAATGATAATCAAAGCCCACTGATTTGGAGGTTCTATTCCAGGAGAAAAAAGGGGACACGTGGCAAGGAGGCGGATGGGGAGGTTGTTACGGTTAGTGGGTGTTTGTTATGTTGGGAGAGAGGATTGATAAGTGAGTGCAAAGGAACATGTCAAGGGGAAAAAGGAGTGAGGATTCAGCACCAGGCTTGGGACCAACAATTCTGGGAATTGTTAGGTGCGTTCAAGTGTTTTGTTTTTCTCTGATCACTGTGCTTATACTATTTAGGTGTGTGCACTGCTTTTGAGTGATTAAACTTTCATTAGAGGTGTTTGCCTTTGAGGTCATAATGTTACTTTATAGGCTCTAATGTGCGGTTAGTTGATTCAATAGTTTCAAGCAATGGATTGCTAAGGTCTTATACTGTTGCCACCAAGCATTAGTTCTTCTCACCAGCAACGGTGGAGAGTGATGTGGTAGAGAAGGGTATCTTTTCAGAATTAAGGTTAGTTATGGATGGAGAGCACTAGCTCTGTGTGAGAGCCTAGCTCTGTGGTAGTAGTACTCATTCTATTGATTTTTCCTTTATATCAAATAATACCAGCATCATTTCCATAGATTCTTCAAGCTTAGGTGAGGCTCGATCTATATGATCAAAGCTAGCCATGTGCTGGTCATGTTTGTCCTCAACCAAATGTGAGAGACATTTGATTAGAGCTTACAAGTGCGATATTTGTATGTAAATCAACAGCAATGTGAGTATAATAAAACTGAACGAGTCTTGACCAATACAAGTGTCACTAACAAGAGTCAGGGAATGACATAGGCATAAGAGAAGAGAAGAAGAGATTCTAGTCAGAGCGAGAAAATGGATATAATTCAAGGTTCATCAGCATCAGTTCTAATCACTACCATCAAATGCATTACTGTTACTTAAATGCAGAAATGAACTTCCAAACCACAATATGAAAACAAAGATCCAACCCGAATCATTATTAAAAACAAACACAACCATATTGAAGATTTTAATGTTTCTTTGGCACTTAAAAACTTCTACGCTTAACAAGGCAAAGGAAAATATCGAGTAATCAGTAAACCCTTACCTCAGTCCTTTAAAATATGTTTGGAATTTGAGTTTTGAAGAAAAAGAGAACCGGGGACAAAAATTTACATTTTGAATAGGTTAAATTATAATTTTCACCCTCCATGTTTAATTTAGGTTTCAATATGGTCCTTAAACTTATCTTAATTCAATTTATTCCTCTAAGTCATTTTTTGTATCAAAACTTTCCCGATATTTTCATGACATATTTTCATTTTTTTAATAAACATTCTCTTAATATTTAAAGTACATTCTCTTAATATTTAAACATATCTAGAATATTTTAAAGAGTTTGTCTAAGTTGTCTCACGAAGTAAATAACATCATCTTAGATATGGACTAAGGGTTTTTGTCTATAAAAAGTTGACACACGTTTCAATACTCTGTCTTAAGTTCATTAGTCCCATCTTAACCCAGTGGTAAAGTAGACAAACCCAATTAAAATAACTAAGAATGTGGAAACAGTGAGTTCATATGCATCCATCATTACTATTATAGCATGTTGCAACTTAAAAAGCAGAGTTATGTAAGCAACACACCGGGGTTTGGTTTGGGGCGAGCAAGAAAACGTAGTACATGAGTGCGCCCCACAAGAGAAATAGCAAAACTGAGGTTGTCCAGTCTCTTCCATTGCCATTACCACCCACTTCACTCTCTCTCTTCAAACTGCCACAAACATGGAGACGATCCTTTTTAGGAAACGCAGCCAACGAGATTTTGATTTTGGTTTTGACATGAAGCGGTTTAAGGAAGCAACTGAAACGTGTTGGTCTGTGTGTCAAAACTCTGGCTTGAGGGTTGCGGGGTTGGAGTGAGTTTCGGTTGTTGGGAGTGGGAAAGGTGCAAGAGATGAGATTGGGGTGAGGTAGCAGCATAGTCCAAATGCTCATGGCAACGCCGCTTGCTATTCTACATCAACTTTGGATAAACAGATTCATACCTTTTTTGGGAGCAATAAATAACTTTTCACTCCTACAATTATTTATTAATTTAACTTATTAATTTTTATTTATAAAAAGCAATTTTTATTTAGTTTGTTTCAATAATTTTACAACAAAATTTATCAGAAATTATAAAAATGACTTGTCAAAATATAAAATAAAACTAAGTAAATAATCGTTGTATATCATATATTGAAGGTTTTATTAAATATTTAGCTTATTTATTTTTATAATAACTAATTATTAAAATAATTCAAAAAATTAATTATTTTTCTATTTAGAATTTTGTCTTTGCTATGTCACCCTATTTTTTATAATTTTTTAAAAATATTTTTACATATCAAATAAACAAAACTAATTTTTTTAAATAATTTCATATAGTAAAAAGACTAAATTTAAAAAAGTAATAATATATGTCAAAATTTTAGATAATTTCATTTAAAATAATTTTAAATAATTTTGTATACACTGTAAAAAACTTCTTCAGATTTTTTTAAAGAATCTTATGTTTTTTTGGAGGGGAGGGAAGTGAAAGATTTGAAGGTGGAAGAATAGAAGGGAGAGCAAAGTGAAAAGAGGTTAAAATTCTTCAAATGTTTAATATTGAGAAACAAGGATAAGAGAGTTTAAGTATATAAATGATATTATTATATTTTATATCTTTTATTCATATTTTTAATTTTACAAAAAAATAAAAATTAATATTTTCTTTTTTTAAAATTATATTTTTATAATTTTTTAAAAAAATTCTCACTTGAAAAATGTTGAAAGGACTTTGGAGGGTTTAAAAAATCTCTCAAACTCTTCCCTTCTTAATTAAGTAATTAAAAATTGTTCTTGTTAGAAAAACACTAATCTTCGGATCTCTGCCTGGGTAGGATGACATCCTTCCGTACATTGCTGACGTGGGAAGGGTACCTGCAAAAGGCACTCCGATGCTAAAGTCAGGTCTCGGTTCTCAGCAATAAATATTATTCAATATTCAAAAGTCAACCACTTATCTGTACCTCTTACCTTCCTTTTATAGGAGATATTCTGGATTAATGGGCCTTGTAGCTCAGCCCTGTTTTTAGCTTGATAATTAAGCTGATAATATTCTTAGTTTTTTTATCTAAATAAATTTAATTGTTTTTTAATTTATAATTAATGTGTCTTGAGAGGTACCCATCTTTCGTAGGCCGAATAGGTATTCGGTTTCCTCTTTCTATGAGTAGGACCGAGTAGTGCCTTATCCGGTACACTTGCCCCCCAACCCCGAGGAGGTAGGACGAAAGGGCTTAAATTAATTGGTGAAGTGCTCGGCTATGAGAATACATGGTCGTTAAGTAGTCGGCTTACTTCTAACGATATCTTCATGTCAAGTATTCAGTTTTAGTAGAGAAAAACGATGATGTCAGCTGACGAATTAGGGTTTCAAATTTTTAGGGCTTCCTCGTGTTTTGAGCCTCTGAAACAAAAGGTTGCATGATCTTAGTTGTCAAATCTAAGGAAGATTTGATGGTTCGGAGAAGGTGTGACCCTTCGCTTGCCTGAACCCCTGGCTTCTATAAATATGTGGTGGACCAATCTTCAATTCACATTTTTTGCTCTAGACCGAAGAGTACCTTTTGTGCATTGCCTTCCACGATTTTCCATAGTTATTTTCTTCAAACCGAAAGGTACGCTTTGCTTCTTTCATTCCTTTCTTTTCCTGTTATCATCATGGCTAGTTCAATTGTGTGGGAAGACTCCCTGTCAGATCATGTGAGGCTGACTAATACTGCCGAGGGTGGGGACCTCGTGAATGATAGAAGGTTTGAAGAAGTTTTTTCATAACCGAATAGGGATAGTTCTGAGGTTAATATTAGGGAGGATGAAGACAATGTCGAATCGTCCCATGCAGGTGTTGAGTCGGATGAACCTCTTCCGGGTGCGAGCCCCCTAAGAAAGAGACATGTTTTCTCCCCATGTTCGATACCTAGATATGAATGGGTGCATGATGAGGTGGCCGCCTACTTTTCTCGCTTCTAGAGGAATAAACACATTCAATCTTTTGTAGATAACTTTGACATATCCTTGTGGGAGGGTTCAAATCCGTATCCTATAACAATAAACACCTGTCGAGGGGATGGATCTGACCACCCAGACTTTGTATTTCTAGGGGAAGATGTTGAAATGGTTGACACCTTCTACGTGTATGAGTATATGTTTAGGGAGTTAGGTATTAGACTCCCTTTTGACGACTTCCAAATGGGAGTTTTAAGGGTGTTGAACGTTGCACCTACTCAACTGCATCCAAATGGGTGGGCGGCCATGCAAGCGTTCAGGATCCCTTGTAAATTTCATTATATAGAACCTAGTGTAGGTTTATTTCTTCATTTTTTTTTATTCGTTCGTCTGATAAGGCAAGATGGGTGTCTTTAATAAGGCAGGCCGAGTTGCTCCTATTCAAACCTTACACTTCGTCTTTTAAGGGTTTCAAAACTAGTTACTTTAAACCATGAACCCTATAGGTAAGAAATATTTTTTTGATAAAGAAAATTGACCCCTCTTTCCTTTCCGTTGGACTCGGGTACCTCATTGATATGACATTTATCCCAAGGAAATGTTGTCGGCTGAGGAGTTGTCGGCTCTGGAGTATATAAAGACTCTGCCTAGGGAGCTCCCTGCCCGCTCCTTTGTTCTATTGTTGAAGTCCCCCCAACCTCGGTTGGATATGGATGGTATGTTTCATATTTTTACTTTTGTTTCCTTTAAGCGCTGGTTTATATTAATTCAACTTGTTTGCATTTTAGGAATAATGGCATAAAGAGGAGCTAGTTTGGGTTATCGACACGGTCTCAAGCTGAAGGCTCCTGAAGGTACTCCAGCCCACGCTCACCGACACCCAATAATAGATCAGTTGCCACCTGTAGCTGAAGCCCGCTCCCCTCCTCAAGATCCTGCCCTTGCCGAAGGTCGATCAAAGAAAAGAAAAGACAAAGGCAAGGAGAAGGAGTCAAAGAAAGAAAAAAGACCCAAGCATGCTCGTGACGTTGGGTCAAGTGGTCGGGGGAGTTCCTCTGCTCACACCGTTGCCACCTGACACTATATCTGAATCTTTCTTTGTTGAAGGTTTTCGGGTCAACCAAATGGTATGTCCGGATTCCATATCAGAGTCGAGACAAGTCCTTATAAATAAGCAGACTGATGAATCCACATTTTACTAGATTTTTATACATCATTTATTACTTCTTATAGAAAAGAATAGACTTAGATAGTGTAAATAAGATGAACATTCCAATTATGCTAAATAATATAGGTTTCTTAGTTTTTGGTTAATTTACATTGATTTAGATAGTTTATTTTACATGTTTTAATCATTTGAATAATGTAGCAGGAATCCCTAAGCCTATTTTGAAGAATTATTAGATTTTGAGGAATTTGAGGTGAAAGTAACTACTTTCAAGATTGATAGTAACCACTACAGCAAGCTACATTCAGCAAAGGGACCAAAGTGATCACTTTCAAAGTTACAAGTAATCACTCCAGAGAGCTCAGAATCCACTAAGCGGCTCGTAATCACTTTCAAAGTTGAAAGTGATCACTCCAGAGAGTGCAGAATTTCAAGAGCTGTGCGTAAACACTTTCTAATTTTATAGTGAACACTCCAGAGAGCCCAGAACTCACTAATGCTACGTGTGTTTACTCCGAAGATTCATAGTGATCACTTTGGAGGGCGCCTACCTTAGTATAAATAGATTTTTACCAAATTAGGGTTGGAACTTCTTACATTTTTCATACCTTTTCTCTTCCTTACTAAATTAGGACGATTTTCTAGAGCTTAGGGCAACCGTCCAACCTAAGGTTTGGTTTCTCATTTCCCTTGCTTTTTGCATTTCCAACTTGCGTTTTTGACCCCCATTTCCATAGAGGTCTAAATTTTGTGTAATCCTTGATGAATTCACATTGATTCTTGAGTTCTTTGATTTTAATGATAATATAACTCCTTTCTTTACATGAATTACTTTTTTCTTGTCTCTTGAATTGAATTAATGGTGAATGAGGGGGATATTGCTTAATTAACCCTAATTCATTTTAAGGAGATTCTAAACTAGGGATTGCTTAATCCTAGGTTTAATTCTAAGGTTGCATAATCTTGGGATGAGGGATTAGAGCCTAACAAATTGCGTAATTTTGTTGGGACCATAAGGTTGATTTTCCCTTGTTAAATTAACCTAATTCATGGGAGAGAGGATGTGTAATAAAATTTGAGTGGAATGAGGATAGAATCTATGTGGGTTAACCAAGAATTGCTACTTTCTATTGTTTTAATTAATTAAACTTGTTTGCTTGCTGTTCTTTATATTGATTTGAAATCACAAAACCCCCCATTTTAATTGTTTGTTCAGTTAATGCCTTCAACATGTTTAATGAAGATTAATAGCCAATGTTCACGGGAGACAATCTAGGGTAACCCTAGTACTACATTAAGTTGTTTAAATTTTGATGAGGATTTGCAACAAAACTTTTAAACATAACGACAAATCAATTCGATCATCAAATTGGCGCCGTTGGTGGGGAACATTGGTGTTGATTTTTCATAAACATGTTATTTGCTCTGTTTTCATTTTTGTTTTTTTGCATGTTTAGTGAATTCTCTTTTAACTTTTGCATTGTGAATACTTTAGTATAGTTGTAGTTTCATAGGTAAGTAGAGATATCTTGCATTTAGGTAAAACCAATTGTTGTTTTCTGCATTTTGTGAATTTTGATTTCCGCACTTTAGTTTGTTGCATTGCATTTTCGTTTGTTGCATAATTGCCCTATTTCTACTACATAATTCTGCATAATTTAATCAATAGGACCGCACACTCTTTTGTTTCATTTTCACTGCACATTGTATTTAATTTTTTTACATAATAGTTTCCTGCATAATCTGCACTTTAGTACTTCATTCATTCAATTCTTTTCAATTTCCATAGCTAATTCCTAATGAATGACCAGATCAAATTCGGGAGATTTATATCCTCCAGATACTGAAATTGATAGGACAT